TATCCAATCCTTAACCTCCTTCAAACCCTTTGGAAAATATTAGCTGGCCCTGGAGCCTTATCATTTTGTAAACTTCTTAATTTTTTTTAACAAGCTCAGAATTAATGCAATCATATTGTCTGATCTTGTTTCCATCTATCAACTGTTCAAGATGAGAAATACTGCTTAAATATTCATTAGTAAAAACTGAAGAAAAAATCAGAATTTAATAACCCAGCCATCTCATAATCATCAGATACAAGCCTCTTTTCATCATTCTTTAAGGTTTCTACCCTATCATAACATTTTGTTTACTCTTAATGTACTTACAGAAAACCTAATAGAGCAATGATCACTTGCACCCAGACGTTCCCCAGTTTCCACCATCTCAACAATTTCTATATTATAAGTTATCAATAAATCTAAAATATCATTGTTAAGAACAGTATAATCTTTAAAACATTAACTGGTATGAAGATATAACATATAGAACTTTAGAAAAAAATTAAATACATGTAAGTAATATGAAACATCATATTTTAATTTTGTTATTTGTTTGGATATAAAATAATTTGAATGTTTGCTCAGAACTTTACTGATTAAGTTCTATACATTCGATCTGAATTTGGTTTTTATTTTGAAGAAAAAAACCAGTACAGGTAGGATTTAAATAATGCTTTTGTCATTACCAAAATTTTCTTTAGTTTGTAACAAGTGGTTTCTGTTTATCTCATTTTAATGATAAACACATCAATCTGTTTATGGAAACAGTAATGTACAGGACTTTCAAAGTTGATGTAATCTCTGCTTCTTTATTGACCTGAATTAGTTTTATAAAATTCTGTTCTAGTAGAATGAGGAAGCTACTTTTATCTGATAACAGTAAATATTGTTTTTAGGGCTGTATTTTTTAACATACCAAGGTTCTAATTGTAAATAACATGAAATTTGTGTTGTCACTAGTTAATTATATGATAATGTTTATGTCTACATATAAGTCATCAAAAGGCTAAGAAAATGCAATATTAAGCCTAATAATCTTGTTTATAGTTAGGTATAAATGTAACATATCTCCCTGGTCATATTAACTCTTGTTTCCCTCCTTCCATTTGGTTTCAAGTTGTAGGATCTAAGCTCATTATATTCATGTTGTACAAGTGTGGTGATATTAAATATAGAATAATATTTATTTAAAAGAGAACATGAGGAGAGAAAAGTTAAGAAGTGTATGGTGGTAGGAAAGATATATAATAACTTTAATGATTTAATATCAGAACCACTTAGAAACATTTTGATAAAGTTCTTGTTTTGGACATAAGACCCTCTTCAGGTGCACAAGGGCCTCAAACAACTAGCAAAAACAGAATGTTTGATTTAAGTAAAAATACAGGTTTAAAGAAAAGGCAGAGAGACAGGTAATAACAGTTGAGTATAGAATGAAGATTTTCCATTAATATACCTATTTTGTCTATACAGTATGGAGTCAGTTTGGTAAGGTTAGCTTGTATGTTGTTTCTTATTGTGAAAATTTGGAAATTGCATGTTATTTTCAAATATAGCAAATAAAAATTCTCTTACATTAAACTTTTAATTTATTTTCTTATTTCGCTCAAAGTATCATATGGTGTGCTGTTTTTCAAAATATCCAATCAAGGAAGCCAAAAACCTCAGAGGAAACAGAACCTAGTCAGAGAAAAGGGTGAAAGTCACAAGGCTGTGATAGTTCAGGTTATGTGTCCCTTCTCTGGTAAGTAAATGGATGCCATGTGCACACTGGCAAAAGTATGAGATTTGAGGCCACCTTTAGCAAGAACATGGCTTGAAAAAAACCAGAACACCTATATGCTGACCTGCTGATCTACCAAGTAGTTGAGGTAAAGATTCATACTTGGCAAGAATGATCAAATTAGCCAAGTACAAATGAACCAGAAAGGAGCTGGCATTTCTTATTTCATACTCTGGCTTTAGCTGTTTCTGCAACCTTTAAATTATCCTAAACTGCAGAATAAGGACAAAGGAACTTCCAACAAGCTCCTAAAAATGGACGTATATGAAAACACAGCATTTTACTGGATGAAAGTTAAGAAGAATTTGATAACATGTCAATCATGCTATATCCAGTGCCAGTGAGGCTTTTTACCCAGTTCTTAATTCAAGTAAAATACATACATATTAATAATAATGATAAATTATTTGGTGTTAAAATATATATTTGTGATGTTAATAAATCTTAAAAACCTAATTCTGATGTGTAATGACTTAAATACAAAACACTAAAAATTACAGTTCACCCACTGAATACATTGGTGATTACAAGAACTTATGAGTGCAAGTAAAGAATAATGTGATGTGTCAACCATACTATGTCCACTATATCCATTGCCACAAAAAGCCTTTCATCTAATTCCAGCAAATAAATTTGATTCCATGATCTCTTTAAGTGTGGGAGATAAGTTAGCCAATTGGATGGAAGAAAGCAGAGTTTTGTTACAAATGGAGTTCAGTCAAACTGGATTAATGTTACAATTGGGGGTACCTCATGGCTCAATGTTAGGACTTTTGCTCTTTCTGATTTAGATCAATGACATAGATGAAGAAATAGTCAATAAATTACTTAAATTTGCAGATGCTATTAAGGTATTGGGTGCTGCTAGCTGTAAAAAGGATGCTGCTTCTTTACAAAAGGATTTATATCATTTAGTGAGTTGGCCAAATAAATGGCAGATGGATTTTAATTATAATAAATGCAAGATAATGCATGTGGGTTATCATAAATTGAATTATAAGTATAATTTGGATGGGAATAACCTTAACACTGTCATAAAAGAAAGGGATCTTAGTGTAATGGTTGATCAGTCTCTTAAGCCATCTAAGCAGTGTGCTGTTGCAAGTGGTAGGGCAAATAGAATTTTAGGTTGTATCTACAGAAATATTCAATACGAGTCTATAGAGTTTATAATTTCATTGTATAGGTCACTGGTTAGGCCACGTTTGGAGTATTGTGTTCAGTGTTGGGCTCCTCACCTTAGGAAAGACATTGAATGGTTGGAAAGAGTTTAGAGGAGGGCTACTAGAGTGGTGCCTGGGATGGAGGGTTTGTCATATGAGGAGTGATTAAGATTTTTGAAATTGTTTTCTCATGAAAAAAGAATAGTTAGAAGGGATGTGATTGAGGTGTTTAAAATTGTAAAAGCAATTGATAGTGTTGATGCATAATCTTTTTTTATACTTAATGGCAAGAATAGATAAGGTAGGAGTCATCTTCATCTAAGACAGTTTCATTTTACCAGCAGGGTAGTTGGCCTCCGGAATAGGTTGCCATCGGATGTCGTGGGGGCAGTAAATTTAAGTGGGTTTAAGAAAAAACTTGATAACTATATGAATAATAAGGATTGGCTGGCTTAAAAATTTTTTTAAAAATGTATTTACTTAATAGTTTAGTGGTGCGATCTACAAAGATATTTACACTATAGCATGCGGTCTACACAGATACTATCATGATCATCACTGTTTTAATGATTCACTAAAACATAATTTCTTGCTAAATGATTTATATCCTTCCGCATTTTTGTTCAGTAAATAATAATACTTTGGTAAGTTGTGTGTTCCAAAGAGTACCTTAAGTTTAGGTTAGAATTGCGCTAGTTTTGATTGTTGGAATTTATTTCATTCCGATTATATTTGACCTCCAAATGTTATGTAATGGTATTTTGTACTCTATTTGTTTAAAATCATTATTTATAATAGCTGGCGTCACTTGCAAATAAACGAAAGTTAAAACGGTGATGATGATGATAGTATCTGTGTTACAGCAGCACCGTTTAGTTTAGAGGATGGGACAGCCGACCAGTTGGTCCCATGTTGTCCCTAAGCATTATTTTATGTTATAATAGGCAGAGCACAGGAAGCCCATTGTGAAACTTTGTGCCTAAAGAGCAACAAACGACATTTAATGGTACAAAAAAGGCTGTATGTAACGATATGTACGTATTATAAGAATCTTCATCGAATATTTTAAATGCACACATACCTATTTCCCAAAAATTATGGACAGGAACGTTTTTAATGTATTAAAAATATTTGAAAGTGTAATTTATTTTTAATTCAAAGTTCTAGAAGATACTACTGATACCAAAAACAGCCGTGTCCTGAACAATTAAATATTTTTAAAATTCTCGTTAAACGTTAACATACGCATAGGTCAAAATCCTAAACACAGTCGTTTTTAATGTGATAGGAATTTTTTAAAACATTGGAAGTTCGTTATTTTAAGTAGGCATTTTGGAGACCTTGTAATGATACAAAAACAGTTATATCCAAGAGCACGTAGATATTTTACCACTATTTCGTGACTATCGTCCTATACACAAACACTGAAATTTCTAAAAAATAAATTAGGTGAACGTAAAATACTATAGATATTAGTTTAAATACTACATAATTTCATATATAACTTTAGGCTTTGTTGTTGTTTTAGTTATACATGTACTTTTATTGTTTCTTGTGACTGTATTTGTATTTCTTCGTTTGCTTCTTTTTTATTTCATTTGTCGTGCATGTGTATTCTCGTGTGCTTCTTTATGTAGAAGCCCCCTGTGGCATAGCGGTATGTCTGCGGACTTACAACGTTAAAATCCGAGTTTCGATACCCGTGGTGGTAAAGCCCAGATAGCCCATTGTGTTGCTTTGTGCTTAACTTCAAACAAACGGATAAACTTTATGTTGAAACTATACATTATTTAAACATTTTTTTAATTGTGCGAGAAACCCTTGTCACTTCCTTGTGATTTAGTTTATGGTATGACTACTACCAGAACAGAGGAATACTGTTATGTTTTTTTTTAGTTGGTGCAAGGAGACATATATAATAGTTGAAGATATTCCTCTCATTTTTATGAATGCAATTGGATATTATGCGTCGAAGTTTAAAAAACAAAACAAAAAACACTTCATAATGTATCTTGATTTTTGACTCATCAACATTAACACTTTTAAAAGGTTCTTTCAAAATGTATTTTCAGGAAAACTGCAAAAAGTCTACTGGAAAAGCAATGTTGTCTTGTAAAGGAGAATATCAGGATTGATACCACTTGGCCTGTATTGACGAGACTTTAAAAATCTACCTTCAATATTTTAATTTTCTAAGTACCAAAATATTTAGTATCCCAACGCTATAAATGTCTGGGGTATTATAAATATTTTTATAAGTTAGCCCGTTTTAACTTAAAATGTAGCAACTTACAATTCTGTACTGAAGATGTTGTAATTACTCATTTTGGTATCATTTTGTGTATTTGAAAATGCGATAAAATAGTACTAGTAGGTTGATCTTTCTAAAACTAATTTTTTTTTTTATGCGTGAAACAAAAAAAATTGTGATAAGCATAGGGTTCCATTTCTTGTAGTTTTATTCACTAAAATAATCATTTTGTGGTAATGTAAGGGCACATTTGGACAGAAAAAGAAATTTAAAATTTTGGTGTCAGTATTACACGTCAGGCGGCCTGGCATGGCCAGATGGTTAGGGCGCTCGACTCGCAACCAGAGGGTCGCGGGTTCAAATCCCCATCACACCAAACATGCTCGCCATTTCAGCCATGGGGGCGTTAAAATGTGACGGTCAATCCCACTATTCGTTGGTAAAATAGTAGCCCAAGAGTTGGCGGTGGGTGATGATGACTAGCTGCCTTCCCTCCAGTCTTACACTGCTAAATTAGGGACGGCTAGCACAGATAGCCCTCGTGTAGCTTTGCGCGAAATTCAAAAACAAAAAATACACGTCAGGCTGTTTAGTTGCATAATCGGTTACTTTCATGCTACCGTCTGGTCATGGATTTACGGTGTACTTTAATATGGAAGTGATGAAAAACTTTAAGATAAAAATCGAACCCTTATCTGAAGAGGAAGATGCCTTTTATGGTGTTAGATATCTGAAAAATTATAAAGAAACTGGAAAACGGCACGTAGTAGTAAGTTAAAATATGTAGAAATTCAATCGTCTGTAAAACTGTAACATGCCACAAATATAATGATATATACCAAACAATTCCCGTAGTGTTCGATAATGGGTATATTATCTCACTCTCAGAACATGTGATTAATGATGATGATAATTTTGCTTTAGGCTTTTCTAACATCTGTTATTTGTCCACCATGAGAAGAATTGTTTCTGGTGAGCAGACATAATTTATTTCACTAACTTTATTAACACTGATAGTGGTAGAAATATGTTAACTTAGCCAACGAAACGTCACAAGTTCACAGTGGAGTAACAAATGAAATATTGTTTTAATTCCTTCCCATTTGGTATGTGATTTGTATAACAGTAACACTAACAGTATACCTGGATATCGTATATATATGTATTTCTTGTTTGTTCCTTAGTTTAAGTATCACAGCAAGAAATATATGATAAAAATAAGGCTTAAATCATACTATACCAACTTTACATTGTAATTATAACTCAAGTAATGTATATTTTTAGATGCAATCATCTGATTTCTGAATGGGATTATCATTTTTTCATAAAATTGCAAGCTTTGACTAGAGTAATCTACTGTATTAAGTGACTATTACTGAATAAAACATAAATCGTAAGATAGAGTATTTCTTTTATTTTGAAATAGTTTATTGAAGTTTGAAGAGTATAAAACAACTGGAATTGACATAACATGCAGATATATACTCCTTTACATGTATTTCCTGCAGAGAAAGATGTAGAGTCTGTTAACAGAAAGCTCCAAGAGTAAAACATCACAGAGTCCCTGTGTCTCTGAACTCCTGTTGAGTTTGTCACAAAGAAGGAGTCAATATACAAAATGTTATTAAATGATAATCTTTAGTAATAAATAAACGAATACAACAAAGGTATGTGTTAAATGTTTGTGGCGGTTGTGTTGGACTGGCAAACACAGAGAAAGAGAAACATTTGTTGATTTAACTATTAGCTTTCTCACCAGTCCAGTGTGAACCACACTGTAAGGTAATCCAAAAAATTATGAAATTACAAGTTAAAAGTTAAAACAACCCCTGAGTAAAAGAAAACAAATTTTAAGTTAAACAAGAAATGAAATTACAACTAAATCTCTAATGAAAATATAGCAAACTTTACAAAATCTCAATCAGTCAAAAATCATACCAAATTCCCTGCCAAACAGGGGAGAGCCTAGCTTTTAGTAACAAAGCTATGTTGCTGATTGGCTGTACTTCACTCACATGACTTTGATATAATCACCCTTGATTACAGGAGTGGGGAAGCTGTGAGCCTTTTGCTGGCACAAAAGACAGCTGTCTATTTCAGGACACATTACTGAAGTCTCAACTATCTTTCATGCAAGAGACTGAGTTTAATGGCCAATTAGTGGATCCAGGTCTCATGTGTCATTAGGATAAGGAAAAGCCAATGCTAATTTCAGAAACTTTCTACATCCAAACTAAATACAAAGAGAATGGAAATTTTGAAGAAATCACATAATGATTAAGGGGTTGCAAATGTGTTACATCTTGAAGGCATAGGAAAATTGTAACAGATACTCTGAAATGGCTTAGGCTTTTGAAAAAAAGTAACCAATCTTAATAAATTTAATAAAATAGCTACTCCTAGTTTCAGGTTCAGGCAAACAAATGTTTAATGGACACTTATTCCAACATGCCAGTCTGCAACTAAGTACTTCATAGGTCTTACCATCCACCTGGTTAGTCATATTGTATTTGTATTTTAATGATGGTTCTTAAGTTTAAAAGATCTTAGTGACCGAAATTACTTGTGCATATGGGTTAAAGTTGGATAATTAGTAAAATTTGCAAATAGATTAATTGTGGGGCTCACTAATCGATCACATTCACTTAATCAGTTATTCTCACATATGACATGGGTAGTTGAAATAATTAAAAATAATCAATTAACTTAATTTCATTTAATTAATTATTTTTGTGAGTCATCACACTAATCAATTAAGCATAACAACTTTGAATTTATTTAAAATAAGAATGAGAAATTTAGGTAAGGTTCCACGTATAAGCTTAGGAAACTACACTGGGTAGGGATTGGAGAAAGACTACATAAATGGATTGAAGGGTGGTTTGTGATAGAAACATAAGGCTGTTATTAGTAGAGACTAATCAAATTACTGTAAATCTCTGCTACTTTTTGAGTGTTTCAAGGATCAATGCTTGGGCCTTTGTTTTTTATTTTATTTATGACAATGATAGGGCATAATTATTAAATTTGACATTAAACTCTTGGTTATTGCTAACATTAAAATGTTGCTGTACTTAAGAATGACTTGGTTCTACAGTTGGGTGATTAATAGTGTTGCGTCAGCGAGTCACGTGACTACTGTGACGCAACGTTTCTAGAACTATCATGTACTTTGGCGAATGCTCT